TAGAAATTTAGAACTAGAGAGGTTTTTAGGTTACAAAACTCAACCTTCTTATTATATTGATGAGTAAGTTTGAGGCCCATGGAATGATCTAACTAAGGGCCTATACATAGTTAGTTCCAGAATCAATTCCACAGTCTCCATCTTTATATTCTCACTATGTCATTCTGTCTGTAAGCTATGCCTGCACCAAGTCAATAAAGAAATAAAACACCTACCAACAGAGCTACTCTTTTGTGATAGGGGCACCATTAATGAAAACATGATTCTCATTTTAATCTGTAAACAGACATATAACATAGAATGCAATATTTTGCCCCAAAATGTAGTCAATAAAACGAGTACTCTTAATATTCCTTCTAATTTCTGAATTTATCTCTACCTGAAGACTTTAATGTTTTTTTCCTCTACAATTTTATTAATTTTACCAATTTCACTTTATATCACAACTAAAGGCCTGGTGCACAAAAATTTGTGCATTCAGGGGAAGTGGGTGTCACTCAGCTCCGTCTGAACCCTCTCACAGTCTGGAGCCCTCAGGGGATGTCTGATTGACTGCTTAGGCTCACACCCCAAAGGAGTGGGCCTAAACTGCAGTCTGCCCTCCTGCTGTGGGAGGTTACCTGGCAGGCTGCCCTCCCACTGCTGCTACCAGGGGTTTCTCTGCAGAGAATCACCCCTCCACCAGGCTCCTCCACCACTGCTGGTCACGACCGCCCTTATTGCTGTCCCCTCCCTCTGCCCACTGGCATGTGCTTTGGCTGGCCTGGCACCAACTTTTTGTGAGCCCCACCCCTCATTGACCAGTCCTTCCGTCATTCGGTCTATTTGCATATTACACTTTTATTATATAGGATTAGAGGCCCATGAAATTCATGAGGGGGTAGAGGAGGGAGGCCTTCAGTCCAACCTGCACTCTCTACAATCTGGGACCCCTCAAAGGATGTCTGACTGCCCAGTTAGGCCTGATCCCAGTTGGACATCCCTCTCACAATCCAGGAATGCTAGCTCCCAACTGCTCACCTGCCTGCCTTCCTGATTGCCCCTAACTGCTTCTGCCTGCCATCCTGATTGATGACTAAATGCTCCTCTGCCAGCCTGTTTGCCCCTAACTGCCCTTCCCTGCAGGCCTGGTCATCCCTAACTGCCTTCCTCTACAGGCCTGGGCCCGCCCAACTGCTCTCTCCTCAGGCCTGGTCAACGCAATTTCCCTCCTCTGCCAGCCTGGTCACCCCTAACTGCCCTCCCTTACAGGATTGATCATCCTCAACTTCCCTCCATTGCAGGCCTGGTCTCTCACAACTGCCCTCCCTTACAGGCCTGGCTTCTCCCAACTGCCCTCTCCTGCTGGCCATCTTGTGTCCACATGGGGGCAGGATCTTTGACCACATGGAGGTACCAATCTTGTGTGTTGGAGTGATGGTCAATTTGTATATTACTCTTTTATTAGATAGGATAGAGGCCTGGTGCACAGATGGGGGCCAGTTAGTTTGCCCTGAAGGGTGTCCTGGTTCAGGGTGGAGGTTCCCTTGGGTTGCGGGTGGCCTGGGCTAAGGGCCCGTGGTGGTTTTCAGGAAGGCCACTTCCTCTGGCGACCCACAAAGAGGCCCTGGTATCTGGGTTTATTTACCTTCTACAATTGAAACTTTGTAGCTTGGAGTGGAGCCAAGCCTTCTGCTTGCTCCATGGAGGCAGCCATTTCTACTGAGATTTATGTATCTTCTATAATTGAAATTTTGTACTCTTAAGTGGAGGCTTGGGTTGGCCAGGGTGTGTGGAAAGTTTGGATTCCTCCATCACCAGGGGCAACTCAAGCCTTCTGCTCTCTCTAACTCCATGGCTATGGCCATTTCTGTTAGGATTTATTTACTGTACCTTCTATAATTGAAACTTTGTAGCCTGCAGTGGAGGCCTTAACCAGCCAGAATGTGCGGAAAACTCAGCTTCCTCCATCACTGGGGAAACCCAAGCCTCCCTCTGGTTCTCTCTGTGGCTGCAGCCATCTTGGGTTAATTTGCATACTCACTCCTGATTGACCGGTGGACATGGCTAGTGGGTGTAGCAGAGTGATGGTTAATTTGCATATCACTCTTTTATTAGATAGGATGTTACTTTTTCCTGAGAAGTTATATTTTACTGAATTTATTGGGGTGGCACTGGTTAACAATATTATATAGATTTTGGGTGTATAATTCTATAATACATTATCTGTATACTGTATTGCGTGTTCACCACCCCAAGTCAAGTCTCTGTCCATCACCACTTATGCCCCCTGTACCCTCCTCCATCTCCCTCCACCAACCTTCCCTCTCTCCAGCAATTACCACACTGTTGTCCATGTCCATGAGTTTTTTCACTTTTAATTCTTTAACAATGTAAATTTGAAATTTTTATTTTAATAGTAAGAACTATTTTGCATAAAGTCTAAAACTTGCCCTAGCAACTAGCACAGTGCCTGGCCAAAAGGAGAAAGTTAATATTTGTTGAATAAATTCTATTAAATCAAAGATTGAAGTCATTTAGCTTTTTTGGTGTATGTGTGTGTTTTTTTTTTTTTTAATCAGGAAACATTGTTGGATTTTGTCAAATGCCTTTTCTGCCATCATTTAGCTTTTTCATGTATATTGTTTCTTGATATTAAAGCATGGTTTCAGTATCTGAGAACATCATAAGCTTTAAAAAATGTATAATATATAGAACTTGAACAAATGTTACATTTCTTTGAAAATCAGGCTATTTTGATAAATGATTTATTCATTTTCATTTTTCTCTCATTTAGTAAGTAAACATGTGAGACAAGTCCCTTGTATGTCTGGCATTCCTTTTGCTGCACCACAAAATATCACATCTATTCCTAGCACTCAGCATCTGATTAATGAACTAGATATATGTTTGTCTAGTAGTGCCTTGCTTCACATCTAGGCACTGTGCATCATAGATTTTTCCTGCTAATCTATCTCTGTTTCTCCATTAAGCTGTTTGGAGAACATAAGATGTTTCTCCATTAAGCTGTTTGGAGAACATAAGATGACTTCAATATGTTTGTTGGAATTAACCAAAGTAAAGAGAGACCAGGAGGAAGTATATCAGGAACTTAGCCCTAGACTGCTTCCAAAAATATTCATGATCCTACGAAATTTACACCCTTTTTACTGAGCCTCTGTATCCTCATTTAAGATGAGAGATATGTAGTAGATAATTGTTTGCCAAAACCTTTTCTTTTATTTATAGGACTTCATTTTCAAATGAAATTGTGCACAGAAAACTTTACCTCCGTTGACAGGTTCATGGTACCATACTGAACCCAAAACACTATGTGAATTAAAGTTTAAAACTCACTGAACAGTAGATATGTTTAATGTGGTAAATTTGTACAATGGATTATTATTCAGCAATAAAAAGGAACAAACCACTGATACATGCAATGACATGGATGAATCTCAAATGCGTGCTAACAGAAAACATACACAAAAAGTGCATACTGCATGATTCTATTTATAATCAATTATAAAAAATCAATACTAACATATAGTAAAATAAATTAGATCAATGGTTGCCAATGATCTGGAATGAAAGGAGAGGGTGAACCACAAAAGGGGACAAGGAAACTTTTGGAGATGATGGAATTATTAGGTAGTTTGATTGTAGTGCTGATGCTGTGGGCATCTGTCAAGATGCATAAAAGTGCACACTGGTGACACTGGTTAACAACATTATATAGGTTTTAGGTGCACAATTTTACACATTATCTGTACACTATATTGTGTGTTCACTTCCCCAAGTCAAGTCTATGTCCATCACCATTTATTCCCCCTGTACCCTCTTCCACCCCCCTCCACCAACCTCCCCCGTTCCCTGGCAATCACCATATTGTTGGATAAAGTTTATTGTATATAAATTATATCATGAAAAAGTTTATTAAAACCAATGCATTAGATAATCTTTGATGCTTCTATAGTTTAGATACAGTGAATGCGACCTGGAATCAGCCAGATCTAGATTTAAATACATACTCTGCTGTTTACTGGCTTTGTGACTATGGGAAAATCACTTAATCATTAAGAGCTCAGTTTCTGCACACCTAATATTGGTAAGAGTACTACTTCATCTAATTGTTGTAAGATATGTGATATGTACTCAATAAATATTAACTGCATTCTTTGTTCTGTGATTCCAATTTGAAAAAGGTCAATGGCATCATATATGTGATCTGCATTATAATTTTGATTCCACTACCAATTATGTAAAACTTTAGAAAAATCCAAACTCTTAGTCTCAATTTTGTCATCATTAACATGAGGAGCATTATGGTATATCTCTTAGCAATATCATAGTTTATTAGAAATATAAAACAAAATAATATATTTGAAAAAAGTTTAGAAAAAGAAAAACACTCCACACAATTGTAGAAAATGGCTGTGATAAAATTTTCTTATGATTCTGAGGTTAAGTGGAACAAGAAAATTTTGCTTACCCAACAGAACTTGCCCTCAGTAAAGTTGGACAATTTTTTACTCAATTTATTGGGGTGGCACTGGTCAACAATACTACATAGATTTTGGGTGTATAATTCTATAATACATTATCTGTACACTGTATTGTTGGACAATTTCTGACATTTGTCTTCTGACTTCTTATTATACTATTTTTGTCCTATTTTGAAATTTCAGTTATGTCTTTGCCTCCTGACAATAGTCATAATAGATTCGCTTTTTGCTTAGGTCTCTTCTGTCTGTGAGAAAATGATTCTGATAAGATTAGTTACCTGAAGTTGAGTAGTTTAATGGGTGACCACTAATGTGTTATATGTAAAGAAAGAGTAAAAATAAGAAATTCAAGTCTCAGGATATATAATATGTGGGATAGAAATACTTCATAAAGCCTTTCATGACAATCAACTGCTCTATCAAGGGTAAAGTCAGACACTTTAAGCATTATTTTATCATCAGTGGAGATGTAGCTAAGAGTTATTTTAGAAGTTTAGAGCAAAAAAAAAAAAAGGCTCATTTTCTATTTACTATAACTTTCCTTAGTGCCTCTTTAACATCTTTGTTTTTAAGGCTATATACTAGAGGGTTCAGCATGGTGTCAAAGCCCTATAAAATACTGATATAAACTTGTCTAGATCAGGGGATAACTTAGATTACTGTTTCATATATGTGGCTGCCCCATAGAATATTGTCACCACAGTCAAATGAGAACCACAGGTAGACAAAGAACCACCCTAGAGCCTACCCTGGGATGAGTGAATTTTTAAGAGAGCAGCAGCAATTTGGACATAGGAAAGGAGAATAAACCCAAAGGGCAGCAGCAGGGTGAAGATACCTGTGATGAGGATCATAAGTTCATTGAGTCTGGTATCAGAACAGGCCATCTTGAGGAGGGAGAGAATCTCACAGACAAAATGATTGATGACATTAGTACCACAGAAGTGAAGATGTAGGGATAAGGTGACCATGGCAGTGAGCACATGTGATGCCCCCCATGAGGTAGCAACCAGCCAGACACACACTGGGCCATTCATGACCATAGAGTAGCGCAGAGGATTGCTGATAGCAACCACAGGATCATATGCCATCACAGCCAGTAGGAGGCACTCTGCTGTAGCCAAGAACAAGGAGACACTCATGCAACAAGGCCTGGGACATAGAGACTATTCCATAGTAAAGGTCTAAGGAAGACAGGTTACTAAGGAAGAAGTGCATTGGAGTGTGAAGGTGTGGTTCAAAATGTATAAGAATGATAAGTCCATTCCCAAACAATGTGCTGAGGTAAGATATTAGAACCAATGTGAAAAATGGGACTCATCACTCAGGTAGTTAGAGATTCTGATAAGGAGAAACTCAAGCACTGCTGTAGCATTCTTCATGGCCATTCTTCCCACTTGCCTAATTTTACTTAAAAGAATGAGAATAAAGATGAGGGATGCTGTAAGAAAGGGGGAAATAATTAGGATAGATAAGATCATTTTCTTCTTCCTTTCTGAAGATATAAAATACAGATCGGACAGGAAAATGAGAATAGAAGTAAAGCTAAAAATCTTCCCCTTCTCTGCAAAATAGCAAATCCCCCATCCTTTGAAAAGAGTTGTATGAAAAGTTCTCTATCTTCTACCAACAGATGCCTTCTTGGATCATTTTTCTGACTGAAGAAAGGAGGAAAGGGAGGCCATCTTCCTGTTTCTTTTACTTGTTCTTCATTTTACAATACAAATCTAATTCGTAAGTCACTTTGAGTTACCAATTTCCACCAAAGGGTGACTTCTGACAGGCTTAGCTAAAATATTGACCATTCTTGTGCTTGTCTCTTCTAGATTTTCATGCCTCCATTTTCTCATTGTGTTAGTGTCTACCATGGTGTTTGACACATAGTGCTGCAAAGTTCAAAATCAAATCAAATCAAATCAAATCAAAGAAGTATTTGAATGAATGCTACATAAATGGAGTATTTCATGGTACCCTTGAGGTATGTGAAAACTCTGCTAATATTCGAGGTTGAAGTTATACTTCCAGCCTCCATGTTTTCTGTTCTGTGTTTGCTGAGCCTCAGTTTGAACTGTGAAAATCTAATGTGATGTTTACAAAAGTATGGATGATAAGGAGAGGGCTTGAGTAACCAGCCTACTTTTAAAAACTTTGTTTTTCCATCCCCTTTCTCCTCAGCCTGATTTATTTTTATTGCATATTCCAAAATCTAAAATTACATTAATGATTTGATTATTTTTTTCACACTCAAATGTAAATTATTAATTAATGAATATATAAAGTCCTAGGCTGTCACAGATATGAAAAAATATAACTTCTTGCCATTTGGACTGCAATCCTTTATTTTAATCATCATTACTCAACTCTCATCTTACTTTTTTCAGTGACTTCCTTATTGATTTCTTTGTTTCTATCTTTGCTACCATTCAGCTTAAATGATTCAGTTAAATTGTAAGTCAAATCAGGTCACTCTTCTATTACAAAATGTCAGTAGCTTACCATTTTAACCTGATTAAATACTAAACTCCTTATAATGACCTATTAGGCCTTATGTAGTTTGTATTCCTATAACTTCATTCCTACCACACTTTTTCCTGCTCACTTTGCTTTAGTTACACTGGACTCCTTAAATACTCAGCCCATCTCTATCTCAAAGTCTTTGATCTTTTTATCTTGCTGCTCTATATTTATGAATCCCAGATCCTTCCATGACTTACCTTCTCACTTACCTCATGCCTTTATACACAAGACATTTTTTTAGTGAGTCCTTCTTTGGTCATGCTGCCTAAAAGTTCATCTCTAGCCCTTGAAATTTTGTATCTTAATTTTTTACATTATTTTACTCCTTAGAATTATTACTTCTAGCACATTGCATATTTTTATTTATTACATTTATTGATTGTTAAGCTAAAATGTATTCTCAGTGAAGTCATGGATTTCTGTCTGTTTAGCTTGCCCCAAACCCAAAATATTGTCTGAAAGGGGCATGGAAGTTGCTCAAGAATTATTTATTGAGAGAATGTATGAATGGAGCTCTTTGCTTCATGATAAAGAACGGCCTCTCTTTTTTCTACCTGCTTCTTCTCTAGTCATTACTGTTTATATGCCAAGCACCCCTTAATGTATATGTGCTTCTTCATACTACCTCTGTTTTCCCCAGATTCCTTGAATCTCTTCCTTGAATCTTCTGCTACTCACTGGCTATCCTACCTTATAAAAGAGAAACATGCAAATTGACCATACCTTCGCTATGCCCACAAACCACGCCCACCATCCAATCAGGGTGATTATGCAAATCAAACCAACCAATATGGCAGTTAATTTGCATATCCAGGCCAGAGCGAAGACTAAAGACAGTGTAGAAAGAAGCTAAGTGCTGCAGAATGGAGCAAAGCTGTGAAGAAGCAAGCAAGCAGAGTGGGAAAGAAGGGAGGAAAGCAGGCGTGGCAGTGACCACAGCAGGAAGCCCTATTGCAGGAATCTTCATGCAACATGTCTCTAGTTTCTGAATAAGTTTCTTCCCCTCACTGACCTAAATTTTGATTTTAAATCTTGCTGAACAGTGACCGATATGTGCCCTCTTAGCTTTAACATGCTAAGATTCTTTGATTTCTCTCAAAATAACAACAAAATCAACAACATCACAACTCAAACAAATGTTAACACTCCTCAGAGTGAGTAATTGATTACATTTTCCTCCGTTGTTGGAAAAGCTACAGAAGGGATTTTCTAAGGGACGGAGTTTCTCTAACCATCTCTGAAACAGGAGAACCACGTGTCCTGAAAAGTCTTTAGAAAAGAAGATTCCAGAACTCCCCCATATAAGTTGCCTATCCCTGTTTCTTCTTGACCCTGTTCAGCATCTCAAGCTAAGTATTCAAGAACTGTAAAACCATAGACATGAAATCAAATGCCACTTATGAAGTGATAAACACATATAAGAGATGGACAAGATGTTACTTGCCTTCACAGGAGTGTCCTAAGAGCTTAAGAGATCTAAGGCTTGTTCTGCCTTCATTTATCCTGAGAACCTGAGAAAGAGGTTTTTCCTTGGATTACCTCCACCTTCCCAAGTGAAAATTGACATAATTGTCTCCACAGACAAAAAATGCAAGAAGATGAGAGATATATGGCTATACGAAACAATGTCCTGAAGATGGTTATATTTTAAGTTAGTACAATAATACCTTACATTTCTTTAAATGTTGTGTATTTAACTCTCAATTATTTATACATGGGTCATTAACAATTAATATCTAGAAAGATGATAGGCAGCCTACAGCTGGGAAAATGAACTGGTTTTGCATTGGAGTAGACAGGTGATTACTATGCCATTTAAAGGTTTCTGTTGTTCCTAGAACTCCATAAAACACACTGATTGTGCTGGTAAACAATAAATATTGATAAGTAAATTTTTTCTACTTTTATGAATCTATTATTACTAATGAGCTGTAGGATGCATTTTGCTTCTCTATTTTGTGGGAATATTAATAATAAAAATCATAGTATATCCTTCAGTCTCATGAACCAGTAGAATAAAATGATGAGCTGTGTGAATAAAATTTGATCACTCTTTGGCTGTGGGAATACCTATTTTTATTTTTTAAATAAATCTTTATTGTTCAGATTATTACAATTATTCCTCTTCCTTTCCCCCTCTCCCATAGCTCTCCTCCACCCGGTTCCCACCCCACTCTCTGCCCTTACCCCTCCCCAACTGTCCTCATCCATAAGTATACAATTTTTGTCCAATCTCTTTCTGCACCCTTCATACCCCTTTCCCCATGAGAATTGTCAGCCCCCCTTTCTATGCCCCTGATTCTATTATATTCACCAGTTTATTCTGTTCCTCAGACTTTTAATTGACTTGATATTTAGATTCACTTGTTGATAGATAAGAATTTGTTGTTCATAATTTTTATCTTTACATTTTTCTTCCTCTTCTTAAAGAATATCTTTCAGCATTTCATGTACTACTGGTTTGGCAGTGATTAACTCCTTTAGCTTTCTTATCTGTGAAGCTCTTTATCTGACCTTCAATTTTGAATGATAACTTTTCTAGGTAGAGTAATCTTGGTTGTAGGTTCTTGCTATTCATCACTTTAAATATGTTTTGCCATTCCTTTCTGGCCTGCATAGTTTCTGTTGAGAAATCATTGACAATGATATGGTTGCTCCCTTGTAGGTAATTAACTGTTTTTCTCTTGCTTCTTTTAATATTCTCTCTTTGTCTTTTGCTCTTGACATTTCAATTATGATGTGTCTTGGTGTGGTCCTCTGGATTCCTTTTGTTTGGGGGTCTGTGCGCTTCCTGGACTTGTAAGTCTATTTCTTTCACCGTGTGGGGGAAATGTTCAGTCATTATTTCTTCAAATAGGCTTTCAGTATCTTGCTCTTTCTCTTCTTCTGGAAACCCCATAAGTCTGATGTTGGTATGCTTGAAGTTGTTCCAGAGGCTCCTTACACTATCTTCAACTTTTTGGATTTTTTTTGCTTTTTGCTTTTCTGGTTGGGTGTTTTTTGCTTCTTTGTATTTCAAATCTTTTACTTGATTCTGTGATCCTCTAGTCTGCTGTTGGATCTCTGTATATTACTTTTTATTTTAGTCAGTGTATGTTTAACTTCTAGTTGGTCCTTTTTCATATCCTTGAGAGTCTCACTAAATTTATTGGCCTTTTCTAGGAAATTCTTGAAAAACCTTATAACCATGGTTTTGAACTCTATATCCAGCCATTTGCTTTTTTCCATTTCTTTTATTTGTGACCTGCTTCTTTGTCTCTGCATTTTGGCTGCTTCCTTGAGTTGATAGAGAGGCTTTATGTGCTAGGTGTCCTATATCGCCTTGTGGCTCAGCCTCTTAAGTTACCTGAGGTAGATACTCTTGGTGCATCCCTTTTGGGCTGTGTGCACATTCTTATTATAGTCAAGTCTTGATTGTTGTTGGTATCACTGGGAGGAATTGACCTCCAGGCCAATTGGCTGTGAGGATCAGTTGTATCTGCACTGGGAGAACTGTACTGGAGACAGCCTTATGAGACAAGACTTGCTTCAGTGGGGCTTTGGTGTTCACTGAGTCTGCCCCCTGAGTGTGTCCCTTATGGATCTGAGGAGTTGTATTCTGGATGATCCCACTCTGACCACTAGGTACACTGACTCTTGGATCTCCAAGGAGGTGCTAATTTAGCCTCTGCCAGATGCCACCAAGCAGCAGCCATGGAGAGATCTATAGATTCCTCTTTGCTTGGGTTTTGAAGGTGCCCAGATGAGGCCCAGCTGTGAAGCAATGCAAGCTTCTGTGGGGCCTTGCGTCTTCTTTTGGACATTATGGGTCTCACTGATTCAGCTGTAATTTGTTAGGTAAATTTAAATTTCAAAGGACCAGGCCACTCAT